AATACATATGACAGGTTAAATCCATTTCCACTAACCCTCCTCTGATTTCTATCTACACCAGTCATTTGATAAGGGCTAATAATGAAATAGGTAAGAGTCTCTGACACTTCAAGAACATCTTTAATAGCTCATCAGCTATTGAATTATTTTAAGCAGGAGTTAGTTTTCAGCACTCAGCTCAGAATAACTAGAAGAAAATTTGTTTGCAGCAATGAAGGCACATTTCTACACTGACTGGCATAGTATTATTTGCAATGCAAGTGTGATAAAAAAAGCTGTTTCCTTTGGCAACAAATCTTATTACTGTCAGATTTTCAGAAATGTCAAACCCACATCATCCAATTTACCAGGAATGTTTTAAATTTATCTCCTTGGCAACATTAGCTTGTAACATATCTACAAAAAAGGGATTATAGGATTGTAATACATTGATTATAGTTATCATTAACTGTTAACATGTGGGAATGGATTGTTATCCTGCTGGCGGAAAAATGAAAAAAAAATACATTAGGAAAAATGCAAATATGTGACGAAGAAACATGTATTTGATCTACAAAGTAAGAAATTAAGCTATATTTAAAATAAGAAATGTACTAAATCAAATCTTAAAACGGCAACAAGCCTCAGCATTATTTTCTTAAAAAATCCCACACAAAATAATTTTAGCACCTTGAGTTCAAGATCCCCCAATCTTTTGCATTTCAAAATGAGAAGTATAATCTGATGATCTAAATGTGAAATGATGTAACATCTTTCCCTCAATCTCAGAAAAACAGCTATTTCAAGCGTCTGTAGAAGCTGCTGTTCTTTCTGTTTTAGCTTACAGACTTTTTATTTATTGTGTTCTGTGTTTGCCAAATGTTATTGATTTTATATATGAAAGCTATGAAAACAATACTGCCATACATCAAAAACATCTCAGAAACATCCAGCAGATTATTACAACGAAAGCCCTTCAAAACATCTTAAGTAAACCAAAGGATGCAGTAGCACAAGAAAAAGAAAGAAATCATCTACAATATAAGTATAAGGATTCTTAACAGCCATTATATAACAGCCGAACGTGCAGAAGACTAGCAGAGCACATCCATGAACATTAATCAATCAGAAGACACGATAAACACTCAATGTCACAATATTAATTTTAACTGAGAAACGTGACCATCCTAGACCAAGTTATATTCAAAAAACACGAAGGAATTCCTGGAAGCTTGGCATTCAGGCAAATAGATACATTTACACACAATTCAAAAAATACAATAAAACAGATAATACCAGAACACATTCTCCCTAACAACCTACACTCGGATAAAATAGCTAATAGGAAATTTCCAAAAGTGATTAAAAAGTGAGGCTTGCAAAATTCCCCTTGTGGTTGAAAGTGCTGAAATCCAGGGTTGGGCTTCAAAAGTTTCAGCAATGGGTTCTCTGCCCAGTTGCTGGGTGGCCATGGTGGGGGTGGCCTAGTCAGCCTCCTGCACCATGGGGGGTGGCATTTCCTCAAGCCTCTTGGAAGGGAAAAATTGCCAGCAGCGATGAAGAGCTTCCCGAGGAGCCTGTGCCAAGTATGTGTGCGCGCAGGATTGCTCATAGGAAAAAGCAGCTGCAATACCATAGGCGACTCAGGAGTAAGGCTGCAAGGTAATGGCCCCTCCTTCAAGAAGATAAAAGCCAGCTGGGAAGTGAACGTTCTTTGCAGGAGGCAAAAACGTTTTGAAACTCCAGCCTCATGGACATTGCAGTATCTTAAGTTGGTATTTGAAGACTCTTGTGTTGTAAAATATTTCTTATCTGTTGTTTTTGGCAGCCTTGCAAAATCCTGGCAAGACTCTTTCTTGTAGGAGCTAATTAGTTGGAAGCAGCCTTTTATCTGTGAAGAAACAGGATTCATAGATGAAACATTGAAAGGTTGTGCTGCTGCCTTTGTCTTGTGTTTGCTCTCTTGGAACCAGGTTTGGGTCAGAACATGGACAGGGCCAGCCAGGGTAGGATTTGGGTTGCTGAACCAACCACAACGTTAGCAACTTGTCTGCCCGAACCCAGGCGAACCCATAGCAGCCCACGTCTGCTCAAAGCTGGGAAAGACCCCTGCCCTGCGGTCTTCTCACAAGGAGCAGCCCTCCAAAGGACATATGGGAGATTGTCCCTCCTCTTATCCAGACAGGTTCTAAAGAACTAGTGTACCCTGGCCACTACTTTAGTAAATTACTTTGGTCTTTGCCACAGTCATTGACTCCACTTTCTTTTCTTTTTGTAAAGTTTTTTTTACAGCAAACATACAGACAAAACATAAAAGCATAAAACATAAAAGCATAAAACTTTCAATTATATACATACAGTGTGTCAGTTGGTTACAATCTTTTGTGCTATCCTTTTTTTTTACCATTACTCACAAGTTGTATAAATTCTCACCTTACCAATCTAACTTGTGCTTATGTAATATCAATTATTAATCATTCATTTGACTAAACTATTTTTCCATCATTCTACACGAGATATTCTAAATTTCATTATGGTTTAATCTTATACATTAATCCAATGGTTATATATTTTATATTGTATTCTATATCAATCTATTAACTTTTATTGTGAAGCTTGCTAATCTATTTCTTTACCATGTCTTTTTATCTAACCATTGATAAAATAAATCCCATATCATATAAAATTATTTATCTTCTTGTTCTCTAATTTCAAATGTCAATTTACTCATTTTGGCACAGTCCATGATTTTCTTAATAATTTCCTCCTGCATAGGTATTTTTTCGTTTTTCCAATTCTTAGCAAATACAATTCTAGCTGCTGTTAAATTGACTCTACTTTCATACAGATGTCTTTACACTGCCATGACTTCCCCTGAATCCCGATATTACATCTGGGCTGCTTTATTAATATTTTTTTAATTGTAATCTTTATATTGTTTATTTTTGTTTTAATAATTATGCAATCTATCCATTATCGGACCAGTGTGCAAATTTTAAAAAAACAATAAATAAATACGAAGTCAACAAGTGCCAAATAAATGCAAAATCCCATCTATCTACAACTTTTTGCATGGAGATGAGTGGCTTTTCAGGACAGCAGACAACAAACTGAGAGAAAATGTCACAATTAATTATATTTATATAGCTGCTCATCTCACATAAGGACTTTGGGTGGCGTAGACAATAAAACAATCCAAATAGATAGAAACCAATCAAAAATACAACCAAAACTATATTTAAAAGATGAAAACAACCAAAATAGAAAAAAAAGCATCTGAAACTTTTAGCAGGTTCCTGCCTATCATGGGATTCAGGCCAGTTAACAAAACCATTTTTTGAGGGTCTTCTGGAAGACCAACCGGGTTGGTCTCAGACTTAATAATACATAATAAACCTTTATTGTCAATGCACAACATGCATACAATGAAATAGGCTGAGCTTCCCTTAGTGTTTACCTTTGAGGAAGGCTTTCCCAAAGTGTGGAGCCACAGCAGAAAAACAATTTACTCCTAGGTCCCACCCAATAAAACTCCCTGGCTAATAGGACTCATAACATGCCATTTCGGCTGGAATGGGTGCATATAACTGGGAGAGGCAGACCAGAAATAACTTGGTCCCATGCCATGTATGACTTTAAAGGTAATAGCCAGCAGCTTGAATTGGATCTGGAAGCAACAGCAATAGCACTTAGACTTATATACCACTTCACAGTGCTTTACAGCCCTCTTTAAGTCCTTTCTAAGCAGTTTGCAAAGTCAGCATATTGCTCCCAACAACTTGGATCCTCATTTTACCATCCTCAGAAGGATGGAAGGCTAAGTCAACCCTGAGCATGTGAGATTCAAACTGCCAAACTACTGGAAGTCAGCAGTCAGCAGAAGTAGCCTGCAGTACTGCATTCTAACCACTGAGCCACTATGGCTCACCAAGCACACGGAAAACCAATGCAGCTTGTGGAGCAGAGGTGCCATGTATACAATTCTTGGAGAACAATAGAATAACTGTGTACACCACTGCATTCTGCACTAGCTGAAGCTTCTGGATAATCTTAAAGAGCAGGCTGCTAATTGGCACAAGGAGAGCTCTTGGTGAAGAAATGACCTCAAAGCAAACTGTTTGTCTTAAGTCTAGAATACAGAAAATTATCCATTAAAGGGGGTAAGGGTGGTGATGAGGCTGGAATAGGTAAACATTGAAAGAGTTAAATGTAGAACCCAGAAAGAAAAAAAGCAAAGAACCTAAGTTGTTAGATGTAAGGAAGAATTGAAATAGTCCTTTCGCAGTTATAGCAAATTATAGCAAGTACCACCTGCTTTGAAAAACTGAGAAGTGCAAAAGTATCATAAATAATACATAAACTGCTGAAACTTTATCTTGTTTTATTACTGCTGTATAGATGTAGGTGCATATACATAATCTTGTAATAGATGTTGTTAGACAGCAAATACATGTCTCCACATAAATTGGTGTAGAAAGGACAGCAGAAAATGTATGCAATAGAGTCCCTGGTTCATTCTAACTGCAGTGATAGTATCTTTCAGTGTATGGAGTCTAAACTTCCATCTAGTAGTAAGACACTGAAACAAGCCAAAGCAAAGTTTCTACAGTGTGGTGGGAAAATAAGGCTGAATAAATACAGTAGTTTGTGAATATAAAAGGTTTCCAAACTGAAAGTTGGTTGGAACACCCAGATCTATCTGCTGTATGATATCAAAGACAGATTTCACCTTTAGAGTGAAATCACCTCTTGGTTTAGAGATTAAACTGAGTAGTAGCAGAGAATAGATAAAAAGGCAGTCATGTCACCAACGCTCATATTATTTGTTTACAGAAATACAAAAAGTGTCATGCTAAGACACGTCTTTCACTTAACTGAAAATGAAGCATGTCCATTGCATCAGAAGTAGAAGAGCTATTTTTAATGTTATTGAAATAAGCACAGTCAATCTATGTTACAATCAATCTTATTCTAATATTTACACAAAGTTATTATAATATTTGCACATCCTGCAATCTTACCTCAGTGAACGGGTCAATTCATCAGGTTTTGCAGGAGGTTGTGAAAAACTAAATTTCCGAGAGTATTTTTGATCACTAGCCTTGGATCCATTTTCCATGCGCTTGCTCACAGCTGAAGTAGGAAGACCAGTAATATATTGTTAGGGGCTGATGATTGATTAGTAAACTATTAAACATACACAACACAATACAAATTGTGCCTTTTCATGAATAAATCTCAGTAAGTTGAATGGGATATTCTCCCAAGTTAAGTTTAAGATTTGAATACCAATAATTGAGCAGCAGAGTTTTTTTAAATATAGAAAAAATGTAGATGGATCCTGTACTACAGGCACTCTAAAAATGGAAATGACTAGTTTTCCTCAGCCACCACCCATCTTCTCACAAAGAGAAGGGCTTTCTAAGAAATTTGTAGTGCAAAATGGTATAATATTAATCCAAAATTAAAACTATACTCCTTGCTTGGAATAAATGCTTGGAATAGATCAGAGTCAGGAACACAGCATCTGTACGCATAATCAGATATATGATACCAATAGAAGATAATCGGCAGCCTCCATTTTATTTTTTAAAAAGCCCTCAAAATAGCCAAAATGTCACAATACAGCCAAGTGTTAGAAGTTCTCTGTGTACCATGAGGTTTTTTGAGACTACAGATATTCTATTTTTCCCAGTTGTATTTTTTGCTTCTGTGCATAAAGAGAAGTACCAGAAAAAAGGCAGAGGAATCACCAGAAAACTATGGGATCACAAAAAGGATTAATATATTTAACTTTAGCCTACAAAATTGTATAGCATTTCCTGTATGCTCTGAAGCAATTTCACTTCAAATTCAAAATTCTGCACAGCCCTGTCCCATAATTGAACTAGTGTATCATTCTAGACTTGTCCCCTTGAATTAATAAGTGTGATAAATTAATAGACCCATCTGGGTAAATAGTTGTGATTTGTCTTGTGAAAAAGTACAATAAGAGCAAAAAAAAAAAAACAACGAAAGACACAGCACCTCAACAAACTATAAAATGGGCTCCAAACAGTAACTTTGAGAGGGATCTTGGAGTCTTAGTGGACAACAAGTAAAATATGAGCTAGTTGTGTGCAGCAGCAGCCAAAAATCCTAAGTTGCATTAACAGAGGGATACAATTGAGATCAAGTGAGGTACTAATACCACTCTATAAAGCCTTAGTAAGCCCACACCTAGAGTACTGCATCCAGTTTGGTCAACACATTATAAAAAAGATGTTGAGACTCTAGAAAAAGTACCAAGAAGAGCAACCAGGATGATTAGGAGACTGGAGACTAAAACATATGAAGAACCGTTACAGTAACTGGGCATGGCTAGTCTAGTGAAGAGAAGGACCAGGGGAGACATGATAGCAGTCTTCCAATATTTGAGGGGCTGCCACAGAGAGGAAAGGATCAAGCTATTTTCTAAAGCGCCTGTAGGCCAGACAAGGAATAATGGATGGAAACTGAACAAGGAGAGATTTAACCTGGAAATAAAGAGAAACTTTCTGTCAGTGAGAACAATTAACCAATGGAACAGCTTGCCATTGGAAGTTGTGGGAGCATAATCACTTGAGACTTTCAAGAAGAGATTGGACTGCCATTTATCAGAAATGGTGCAGAGTCTCCCGCTTGGGCAGAAGGGGTTGGTCTAGATGACCTACAAGGTCCCTTCCAATTCTGATTATCTGTTATTATTAACATTGGGAAACACCTAATAAAAGCTGACAATCTATCAGCGAAATTCAGCTGATTCACCTCTTTTCTGGACTACTGTAGACACTACTCTTGAATAGGGATCATGGCATACAGAAGGTTCCTGAAAGGCTGCTGAGTGAAACTAAGCAACATAAGCAAATTGTTGCTAAGTGAAACTAAGCAACATAAGCAAATTGTTGCTAAGGATCTATTTTCACTGGACTTTGTTTGGGACTGCCTGCACTGGAACCCAAAATAAAGTTCCAGATGTCATTCAAAGGGCTGTTTTTAACTTTCAGTTTCTTTATGGTTTGGAACAGAAGCCTGCCTCATAGTGGGCCTTTTGTCTAGTCTTCTTGAGAAACATTTTGGGATTTTGGCTGAAATTCAGTGACAGGGTTTCATGGATAGAGTCCACTAAGTTCATGGACTTGGACAAAGCCTAGTTTTGCTGGCCTATCTTGGAAGGAAGAATGTCCTCTCCTTGCAGCTCCAGAGATTTTCAAATTTCCAAATTTCAGAGGAAAGGAGAAGAAAAAATCCGCTCAAATGATACAGGATTTCACCCACCATTACAAATGTGTTTGCTCTATGACCAATTTAAATGGGAGCTGTAGAATATACTGTAATGGGTGATTGGAAAATTCTAACTTAATGTAATATCTAAGAAGTTCATCAATTTAAGTAGTATTTATCCATGTTTCATGTATCACACCCAAATGATAGCACAATTTTAAGCAGGAAATAGAGGATACGACATTAAGCAGAAAAGCAAAGACCCAGTAGAAATTAGGTCAGGGCTTGAACGAAAGCTATGTTCTTCAAACAGCAACTGGATACACTTGTCTAGTTAAAAAGCTGAAATTTGTTTAGATAAAACACATTTTATCAACTGTTCTCTTAATCAGTTTATTTTAAGGGAACAAAAAAGGCAAATTGCTTTTTCACAACATACTGAATTTGAAAATAAGTGTCAGGCAGAGAAGTACTTGAATTAATTTAAATCGGAATGGCTTAAAGAAGTCAATATAAGAACTTTAAAAAGAACAGCCTACAATGTCATCTAATCACATAAATTTATAAGCTTAGTTAGATAGCTTTGCCAGAATAATGTTTGGACAAGAGGAGAGACAAAACCCAACAGCATGTAATTAGTACATGACAAACAAGTTTGAAAAACAACTTTTGCATTAAAGCATTGTACCCAAATTGAGAACTTCTAGAAATTAATGAGATCTCATCGTAACATGGTGCTCATATTGAAAAAGAATTATTATTTTATATAGGAGAGAAATGAAAAACAGGCAAACGATTAATTGCTGCATTTTACATTGACTGTTACCACAGGAACAGCAGAGCATGAAATAAGATAACAGTTGAATCTCATCGTTTTTGTATATATCCAAGTACTTTTATGGAACCTTATGTTCAGAGTTTCATACCTGACAAAGCATCTGCTGTCCGTTTTCGCACAAAGGGTGCTACTGGTTTAACCTTTGTGACACTGGGTTTGGCTTCATTACTTTCTAAGAATTGTCTCTGATACAAAACCATATTCTTGACATTACCTTGAATAGGAAAAAAACAGTACAAAGTTACATTCACAGCTAACAATTTGTTTACTATGTGCTTATATTATTAAGAGAAAATAAGATGGGTAAATAAACAGGAATTATGCTGACAACTTTGTGATATCAATCCAAAGACTTTACCAAACAGGAAACAGATATTGTTGTATGCTTGTTGTATACTTTTAACAATTCCCCTATGTAGGGCAGAAATGTCAATAAAAAAATAACCATTCTGTAAATCTTTCAGTTTCTTTTCTTAGGAAGTCTTTAGAGAAAGCTGGATAATAGTCGACGGAGATGATTTTACCTCCGTTGATTTGGATCAAGATGTAGTTAACTTTAATAAGGTAACTATAAAATTATCACTATAGGAGAACTGTGTTTATGGTGGCAAAATATCAGAAGTCTGATAGCACCTTTTCCAACTAAAAAAAATCCATTAAAAGCTATAACACTTATCAAGTTTCTACCATAGGGATATATAACTAAAGACTATAGTAAGGTTAAAATAAAAAATGTTAATTGTATTATATGACCAGAGATTGACTCAAGAGTAGAGATGTCTTAAATATGCTTACCTTCAAATTCTCCTTGATCTGATAATGGTAGGCTACTCTTTAGTTTACAAAACCTGGCTTTTGAACAAACCTTTTCCTTGAGATCCCATAACCTTAATTTTATGCTGTGTTCCCTTAGCTTTATTAGAAACTCATTGGTAATATTAATTTCAATGCTGTGGTTCCATGAAATCCATATCTGGTCATTTTCAAGCCATGGTTTCACTACCTATTTAAAAAACATAAATAATACTACTGAAATAATACATTATCAACAATAATTTCCTGGTCACAATTAAAAAATATGATTTCAGAGCACTAGAAAGACAAATCAGTGAAGGATTAAACATATGTTTTCTCCCCTCTCACCATCAGCTGAAAGACATAAAATTATGACACACACGTATAAGGAATCTTATTAAAAGTAATAATGGCTGAAACCTTTTAGGCTCAATCCAAATACATTCAGTGTGATCAAAACTTTAAATTTAGGCAGATTTCCCTAACAGTATAAGTAAACTTAATATAGACAGAGAAACATTTTAGCCAGCATATTACACCTCAAGGCTGTTACTAACTACTCTGACTGGCAGTAGCTCTCCTATATAGTACTGGAAAATTCCTTTTAGTTGCAAAAGCCCAAGGTTGAACCCAAGACTTGTATGTTCAAATGATGTTCTCTCTTCACTGAACAGTAGTCCTTTCCCACAAAATGAAATATAAGCTGGATATTATAAAGAAATCTCTTTTGTCTGATGTACAGTTAGTCCTTAGCTCATGACCACAATTGAGCCCAAAATTTATGTTACTACGCAAGGCAGATAACTGAGTTTTGCCCTGTTTTATGTCCTTTCTTAAGTGAATCAAGTGCAGTTATTTAAGTTAGTGACATGGCTGTTTAAGTGAATTGGCTTCCCTATTGAGTTTGCTTATCAGAAGTAGGTAATCACTCAACCCTAGGCACTGCAACCATCATAAATACATGCCAATTAACAAGCATCTGAATTTTGATCGCGTGACAATGGGGATGGTGCAACAGTCATAAGTGTGAAAAATGGTCATAAGTCACTTTTTTCAGTGCCATTGTAATTTTGAATGGTCACTAAATGAACTGCTGTAAGTTGAGGACTACCTGTACGTCATGCAGGAGTTTAAAAAAAAAGAGCAAATCAAAAGCTAGACTTAACATCTCAGATGCAAAAATAAAAAGTCAGATAGCAATAGCACTTACACTTATATACCGCTTCACAGTGCTTTGCAGCCCTCTCTTAAGCAGTTTACAGAGTCAGCATATTGTCCCCAAATATCTGGGTCCTCATTTTACTGACCTTGAAAGGATGAAAGGCTAAGTCAACCCTGAGCTGGTCAGGATCAAACTTCTGGCAAATGGCAGAATTAGCCTGCTATATTGCATTCTATCCACGGCACTACCATGGCTCTTCATTTGGTGCTACAAAATGCTCCATGTTAAGCTTGGGGTGCATGTACCTCCTTTAATATAGGAACATGGAGGAATTCTCCCCAGATCTTAATGTTCAGGCAGAAACACTCAGAAGGACAATCCTTCAAGTACTGAAGACTTCAACCTTTGACTGAAACACAATTGGACTATCAAACCTTTACAATATACATACACATACATACATGCATACATACCTACAGACATACACACACGCACATATGGATTTCTTTGAGGGTCTGATCAGCATTGTAATTCTCCTCCGCGAGCCAGCTTGGGGGAAGGGGAAAATGGGACAGATACCTCCTGCAGCACTCTACCAGCCAAAATGGGGCGTGGGGTGCATGTGGCTCCCCTGTACCCAGTTTTTGGCCTGGACAGCTTCCTGCAGCACCCTGCCAGCAAAACAACCCTAACCCTCACACCCCTTGCACGCCATTTTGGCCAGCAGAGGCACTACAGGCCGGTCCTTTGCTATTTCCAGGCTGGCCCCACATGCCAGATTTAAGCAACCCGCAGGCCGGATCTGGCCCACGAGCCTCGAGTTTCACACGCCTGATATAAGGCTTCCTTATTCTCTGCAATACATTTATTCATCTAGTCTTCTTGAAGAGAAATATTGTTGGAAAACATAGCAGACAGAAGTCTGTATCTGGTACAAAGACTCGGCAGTAGGTACCATAATAAAAGTAAATTAAGACATCATTAAAAATATAAGAGTTAACAAGTGATGACCATTATATATACTGCTTTTTTGTCCCTCACGTCACTGAGTTTCTAGACTAAAATTATTTGAAATATAGACTACACCCATATGTGTACTTATTCAACTTTAGCACCCATAAAAATATCACTACATAAAATTATTGGATCAAAGCATACCTGATGTCAGGTTGAAATCCCACAGTAACTTTCTAGCATATCACAATGCACGAGCACAGAAAAATAAAATTAATGTCATCCATCCTAGGTTTCGTACATTACTTATTGTCATTCGTTCCCCAGAATCTTATCTGCACTTACTGAAATATTCAGCGTGGATGGCTTTTTAGATTTGCTTCGTTCATCTTTTGGAGTCCCTGGCTATCAAAATGACAACAAAAGAAAGAAAGGAAACGAGGAAAAAGCTATGATAAAGAAAGCAGACTAATGAAAAATACAAAATAGACTATTTCAATTCTATACATTTCAGAAGCCTCTGATCTATTAATATGCTATTAATCCTATTTTTTGAATATTTTAAATTAATATTTTAACTATTAAAATAATACTATGTAATGCTAGATTTTATAGCACTTTAAGTTAAAACCATTGATTCTAGAAAAACTTGTGCAGGCAAACAAGAAGTTAAAATCCTCAAGAACTACATGTATCACCAAAACACGGTATCAACTTACAATTCTCCTCTGCCAACAACCTATTTTGTCATCTAAGCTCAATTGCAAATGTGTGTATAACACAGTAAGCCAATTTACGCAGGGCATGTAACTGCAGATTGCAATAAAGGTTGCAGATAAGACCAAAATTACCCCAATAAGAAACTAGAGTTTGTATTTAGCTCACTTAGTTTGATGTGCCTTCTGAAAGTAAACTAACCACAGGCACTACCATTTTTAGAGGCAAATAATGAAAGGTGCACCATATATGAACACTGTGAGTTATGTATTTCCATCTAACATTGGGATACCTATGAAAGGATAGGATTTGTATATCACCACATGCATGTTTTTTCATCATCGCAACTAGAAAGAGATATTCTTCAGTTTACAGGAGTCTAAATGAAACATTCAGAAACCAACCCACAAGCTCAGAGAACGAACCTTCACCTTCATCCTACACCCAAGCTACAGATATTCATCACTATTGCAATTAGTCAGTTTGTTGGAAAATATAGGTGGGTTCCATCTTTGGATAAAAAGAAAAGTATTTTAGATTATGTCCAACTAGCATTCTTGGTCATTGCAGATGGAGCTGTCTTGCAAAGGATATGCTACAATATTCCCAGAGTGGATTATTGTAACAGTTTATAGCATTCCTTGTGTCTCAGTGCAGCTCAAAAACTGCAAACTTCTCTATTTTACAATCTTCAATAAAGGGAGATGATTTGTTATAAAACTACATTAATCATGGTTTCTTCTGGTTAAGGCTAATGACATAGCTGTCCCTCTTATGAAAGGTGCCATGATACAAGACTGGGAGTGGTATCTTGCCTCTCAAATTCATCCATTAATTGTGCAAGGAAACACAACTATCCTTTTCCTTTGTGTAAGAGACAAACATCTCTTCATATCTCATCTCTTCATCTCACTAATATACTTTTGAAGCATATCCAAATGTTCACATCTATCTTATGCCGAGTGCCACACTCTGGTTGGGTCCAGACTGATATTATAAAGGCTGATCCTTTGCGCTCAATGGAACTTGGAAACAGACTTTGGACAATGATCAGGAAACTGGCCTTAGGACCATTTTGTCCTGGTGGAACATGCAGAGATTCTTCAATCCTCCAAACTATGGTAGCTTTCTTAAAAATATTAGTGTCAGAATTCCAGCGATCGCCCTAATAAAATAATGAGCCTCAAGCCAAACTTCAAAAAACTTCAAAGGATTTATTAGGAGTGACATATTGGCATGATCTGTATGAAGCCTACTCTGAGATACATAATTTACAATCACCTATGACCCTGTTTCCCCCCACCCCTCTGGGTGTATCATAATTCAGATTGTCCAATGGAACACGTCATAGGCTGGGTGTCATCAATCACGCTCTCCAATAGAGGATTTTCATGCCCAGAATACCCGGTTGCCTCAGTTACAATCTTTGGGAGATAAGCTTGGAATGTGCTTCTGAATTCATTTGCCGTATGCTCCTTCAGGGTTCCTCCTCCTCCCCTCTTATGGCAACTTGGAATGTTTAGCAAGTTGAGAGTTAGAGGTAATATGTGCAATGAGCTCAAGAGGAACAACCACTAATATCCTAAGTAACAAAGACGGCGAAAATGGTGAAACAAAAGTATACTAAATAATTGGTGTACATGAGGAAGCTCTGTAAGTGGTGCCTCTTAATCATATACAAGAATAGACCCTAAAATAACTCCCCGTTAAAGAAATAGCTTAATAGTTCAGGAACACTTGCTACTAGTACTACCCTGTTTCTCCAACAATACGACCTCCCCCAATAGGAAGTCCCAGCATGTTTTATAGGCATGAAATGAAATTAAGCCCCTCCCCCCAAATTAAGGCCCATATTAAAACATGCGAAATGGGGGGGGGGTGAATGGTGGGGGGGCTTGCCGTTAGGAAGTACTTTTGTTGCACACCCGGATATGGTGCTGCCTGCGTTGACCCCGATACGAAGTGCCCCACCAACGCCGAGGTCAACATCCAAGCCATCGCCGCCCGCCCGCCCAAAGATGCAAGGGGGGGGGGAATTAAGTCACCCCCGAAAAGACGGCCTAGCCATTTTTTCGGGGCTCAAAAAAAAATAAGACCTGGCCTTATTATATGAGAAACACGGTAGTACCAGTGCTACTAGTTTCTGTCTTTTGTACCATTACAAGTAGTCCTCGACTTACAACAGTTCATTGTCAAGAGTATATTCATGAACTGGAATAGAGCATGGTAACAAGGTCAGCCAATGAATAGGCATAGCAACTAAATCAGCCAATGAGGATAGTTTGGAAACTGAAACTAAAAGTAGCCTAGGTGTGGCTCTATGTTAAGCTCTGCAACTCTGCAGCTATGTTGAGCTCTGAGTCTGTCTATTGAAGATGAAACTAACTTGCTTGCTTGCTAAAGACTGGAGCTCTGCTCTGAACTTGCAACATGTTTCTGTTTGAGTTTGCTCCATGTTGGAGAAATCTACAGCTGGTTTGTAAAATCTACTTACATTTATGAAGATGTTAAATGAAGCATCAGCCATCTGTGTTTATTTTTCTGGCACTGAATTATCGCTGCAAAACTCTCAATATTCGTTTAGTGACCGTTCGAAGATAAAACGGCACTGGAAAAAGTGACTTATAACCGTTTTTCCCACTAACAACCACTGTAACATCCCCATGGTCACATGATCAAAATTCAGACGTTTGGGGAACTGACTCACATATATGATCTTTGCAGTGTCCCGGGGTCATGTGATAATTTTTTTTGCATCCTTCTGATAAGCAAAGCCAACGGGGAAACCAGATTCCTTTAACAACAACTGCAACGGTTCACTTATTAACCGTGTCAAGAAAGATACTAAAATGCGGCAAAAGTCAGTTAAAAAATGTTTCACTTGGCAATAAAAAACTGGGACTCAATTGGGGTTGTAACTCGAGGACTACCTATATGAAAATAGCTCCAAGTCATTTCAGTGATGTTCATTTGTCCTGGGGCCAAGATGTCAAATGTGGTTCTAGAGCCTGATTCAGAATGTTGAGAGGTTTTCAGAAGATGCCATAGTCGCTCCTGTCTCATCTCTATTAAGAGTATCACAGCGTGCTGGGTCAGGATGACATGATAAGAATCATTCATGTCTTAAGCACTTTACCTGGTGCATCCTTTGGAAAGCACTGTTAAATGCAGAAAGGCATACAGAAGTCATTCTAACCACAGTGCCGCCAAGCATAATCCCTTCTGTTCTGTTGGAATCTAAAGAAGCGTTTCATCTTTTTGCTATCCCACTCTCAGAAACAGGTCAAAAGAAGGGCATCCTCATCTTACAAAAACTTACAAAAAAATATCCAGATGCAAACGCCTTTCTTCCTATACAAAATGTTAGCAATTTAGCCAATGTCTCTCATGGTTATTTTCTATAGAGGACATTGCGCTAAGTAGATCATCTAGATAGGATAAAACATGACTTTCCACCCTCTGGGTTCTTAAACGGTTCATAAGCTCATCTTTACTTTAGCTGCTCGTGTTAGGTGTAAAGCGGGTGCTTTGAACTGAAACCAAATTCCCTTGAATGTAAACCAGAAGAATCTGCATGGGTTTCTGGGTAAGATAAGACAGCCTCTTCATTCTAAAGGTTCAACATCTGTTTAATTTACTCCATTCAGATATTCAGAATGATTTTCTAATCTCTAGTTTTCTTTGATATAGACCACATTCTGTCAAGCTTTAATTCTATATCCTTTATCATATTCTTCTTAATAACCTGGTAGAACACCTGGCATAAAAGGTAAGAAAACATAGAGGTCTGGTTTAACTTTCCAACTACTGAATTTCATTTCTCGAATACTTAATAAGATTGGTGATATAAAACTGGAACGCAGTACTTCCAAACTTCAGGAATATATTGATATATTTAAGTAATAGCAAAATAAATAAATAGTTTATCTTTTTTTTACCTTAGATTCTGTATCCAGAAATAATTTAGCCACTGGACCAAACAATACCAAATCTAATTTTCGGGGTTCAATATCATTTGGTAGAAGAAAATACTCCATGTGATAAAAACGATGCATTTTTGGAATAAATCCTTCTTTTCCTTTAGATCCAGATCTCTGTATCTCTGGTTTAGAGGTCTGCAAAGGTTTATTTGCTGAAAATAAATATATAAAATAGAAAACAAAATAGGGAGAACAAAAATGAGAGCATTGCTGTTAGAATTGTTTTGTTCTATTAAGAATCTCTAAGATTGGCATTTTACCTATGAAAGTATAATCTTAACATATTTACTTTGGCCTAACTGAATTAATCTGCATAGCTTATATTCCAAAGCCACAAATACTGTAAAGAAAATACAATAATAATTAGTTATCCCATAGCTTTAATTAAATATTTGTAAATTTACCCATATATACTATATAAAATTACTAAAACATATTAAATAAACATCTAGCCTCCATTCCTCCTTCCGAACAGCAATCTGTACTAATATTAGATGCTGAACAGGCAGCTCAACGGTCGTCACACTTTTTCCAGAAATAGCTGTAAAATCCCTAGGATGTGCTGCATTCGGTATAGCTATAGATATAGCTGGACAGTTATTTGCACAAACAAATATTTAATATATCAGACATCAGCAATTGTGAAAAAGCCAACGTAGCATGTGACATTTATCCATATCTACTGTACCACTCTCATCTATATCAGTGTTTTACATGAAGTTACAACTGTGCTGAAACAGAATCAATACAATTTTCACATTTTTACATCCCAAAGATCAGCAATGAATGGGATTTACATTAACTTGATATAGTAGAGAGTGATTTAAATACAATAACAAAAACATGTAAGATCTTTTCTATGTTCAGTCTCCTATGCAGTACTCTGTAAACCCCGTATGACATGTTCAAAAGAAAAATAACTTACAATGCCATTTACCTACTTGGAAGAGTAAGTGGAACAGCCAATGAAACCGAGAATGTGCAGGTAACCAGATGCTGAAAATTAAGTTCTTGGCTTCTCATTGAGTGAACAGATGCTAAATGTTCATCTTCAGGAGTGGGATGACCTCCTCCGCCACCGCCGCCAGCCAAAATTTCTGGACTTTCGGTTATATAGCTACTGCCTGAATATTGTGTTTCGTTGAAATCTGCCTCAGGTGTCACTTCCTCATCACTTTCTCCCTCAGGGTCTAGCTGTTTACTTGCCATCCTGGGACAAAACCCAATTATTAATATTTCTAATTTCTTCTGATCTGTGCTTTTCTTTCTAAAATTAATTATTCTAAAAATAAAGTAAACAACCTTGTCAGAGTATATTCATTAACTGGCAGAGACATGGTTAACGAAGTCAGCGAGTGAGTAAAAATGGCAAGACCAGCCAATGGGAGCTGACAGCCTGGGTGTGGTTTGGCTCTGTGTGCTCTGCTGCAAATTGAAACTGAAACTAGACTTGCTTAAACTGATAAGCTTAAACTGTGAGCTGCTACTTATTTTTGCTTATGTTACATTGAAAGAATCTACAAATGGTAATTGTAAACTTTACTCATATTATTATGTTTATAAAGAAGTTCATAATTGTCCTGAATCAGTCATCTGTGTGTTTTCTGGACTTCAATTTCTGCTGCAAACAAACCTATACTCTACTAAAACTCTCCACAAAGAGAAGTTGGAAAAACTTTCTTTATATGTCCCTTTCCAACAAACACACAACCCATTGTAACATAACCAGAATATTGATTTATTCTGGGTCTGAATCATCCTTGAACAAGATGAAGTTGTTCCACACATATATAATACAAACATAATTTTAAAATAGCAAAGTGGTTTTTCCTCTGGTTGCAAAGCAAGAAAAAATTATTTCTTTGCAAATTCCTTCTCAGGTTTATGGCCAAGTTTACTAGAAGACATTCAGCCACTGGGAAACAGTGGGAAACCTATAGACACTTTTAGATTAAGCCTGGCTACTCTTACCACAGAAGGTAAGGAGAGCAGACTCATTCAAGATTAAGTCTGCAAAGTTGCAGGGACTTGGCATAAAAGAACACCTTGATGAGCTACAGTAGATAGACAGCTTGAAAACCACTTTGAGACAGAGGCTAATGCTGAAAAGAAAATTTAATGCATACATTTAAGACTTGGTTGGCAATCCTGAGATAGAATAGAATTCTTTATTAGCCAAGCGTGGTTGAACACACAAGGAATTTGTCTTGGTGCAAATACTCTCAGTATACATGAAAGATACATTTGTCAAGTGTCAAAAATCATAAGGTACAACACTTAATAATAGTCATAGGGTACAATAAGCAATCAAACCATACTAGGAAACAGTCAATATAGATCATAAGGATACAAGCAACAAAATTACAGTCATACAGTCACAAGTGGGAGGGGATGGGTGATAAGGAGTGATGAGAAGATTAACAGAACAGTAATGCAGACTTTGTTGAACAGTGTTGAGGGAATTATTTGTTTAGCAGAGTGATGGCTTTCAGAGAAAAACTGTTCTTGTGTCTAGTTGTTCTGGTGTGCAATGCTCTATAGCATCATTTTGAGGGAAGGAGTTGAAACAGTTTATGTCCAGGATGTGAGGGGTTTGTAAATATTTTCACAGCCCGCTTTTTGACTCGTGCAGTATACAGGTCTTCGATTGAAGGCAGGTTGGTAGTAATTGTTTTTTTTTCTACAGTCCTCATTATCCTCTGAAGTCTGTGTCTGTCCTGTTGGGTTGCAGAACCAAACCAGACAGTTATAGAAGTGCAGATGATAGACTCAGTAATTCCTCTGTAGAACTGTATCAGCAGCTCCTTGGGCACTTTGAGCTTTCTGAGTTGGCGCAGAAAGAACATTCTTTGTTGTGTTTTTTTTATGACGTTTTTGATGTTAGGTGTCCATTTTAGGTCATGTGATATAGTAGAACGTAAAAAATTTGAAGGTCTCTACTGTTGATACTGTGTTGTCTAATATTGTAAGAGGTGGTAGCATAGGAGGGTTTCTTCTAAAGTCTACCACCATTTCTATGGTTTTGAGTGTGTTCAGTTCCAGATTGTTCCGGTTACACCACTAGACAAGTTGTATAACCTCCTGTCTGTATACAGATTTGTCGTTGTCTAGAATCAGACCAATCACTGTTGTGTCATCTGCGCAAACTTCAGTATTTTAACAGATGGATCATTTGAGATGCAGTCATTGGTATATAGGGAGAAGCAGAGAAAGCACACAGCCTTGGGGGGGCCCTATGCTAATTGTACAGGTATCAGATGTGAATCTGCCTAGCTTTACCTGCTACTTCCTGTCTGTTAGGAAGCTTACGATCCACTTACAAGTGTGTTCAGGTACCACTAGTTGGTTTAATTTACTTAGAAGAATGTCTGGAATGATGGTATTGAATGCTGAACTGAAGTCTACAAAGAGGATCCTTGTGTAGGTATTTGGAGATTCAAGGTGTTGTAGGATGCAGAGCCATATTAACAGTATCATCTGTTGATCTATTTGCTTGGTATGCAAACTGCATGGGCTCTAACAGTGGATCTATGATGGTTTTCAGGTGGGACAGCACAAGCCTTTCAAAGATTTTCATAACTACAGATGTTAAAGCAACTGGTCTGTAGTCATTCAGTTCCTTGATGGAGGGCTTCTTTGGCACTGGGATGATAGTAGAGCATTTGAAGCAGGAAGGAACATAGAACATCTCTAGTGATCTATTGAAGATTCGGGTGAAGATGGGGGCCAATTGGTCAGCACAGACTTTTAAGCAAGAAGGAGTTATCTTGTCTGGCCCTGGTGCTTTTCCTGGCTTTTGTCTGTGAAATAGATCTTGCACGTCTTTTTCTGTGATCACCAGAGGTTGTGAACCCAACGGGTTGGGGCCAGTTGTAGGAGGCTTGGCTGTTGTTGGTGTGCTTGAGATGGGGGTTGTGGAGATAGGTGGCTGTAGTTTCCTTTCAAACCTGCAGTAAAACACATTCAGGTCATCTGCTAGTTGTTGATTTCCTTCTGCCTGGGAAGGAGGTTTGTTGTAGCCAGTGATGTTTTTAAGAGTTTTCCACGTTTGCTGGTTAATTTGTTGAGAACTGATTCCTTAACTTTTCAGAGTAGCTTCTTTTTGCTGCTTTGATCTCTCTTGTTAATATGTTTCTGGCCTGATTGTATAGCATTCTGTCACCTTTTCTGTAGGATTCCTCTTTGGCACGACGTAGCTGCTTTAGTTGTGAACCAAGGTTTATTGTTATTATATATTTGCAGGTTCCTTGTTGGTACACTTAAGTCTTCACAGAAGCTGACATATGATGTTACAGTATCTGTGAGCTTCATCTAGGTCTGCAGAGATATCTTCAAAAACATTCCAATCAGTGCTATCAAGGCAAGCCTGGAGCTTCAGATTTGCCTCATCAGACCAAGTCCTCACTGATTTAATTTTTGGTTTCATGGTTTTAAGTCTTGGTCTGTAGGCAGGTACAAGGTGAATCATGCAGTGGTCATGAGTAACCACGGGTGGGATTCTACCGGTTCTGTCCACCTCTGTAGAACCAGTAGTTCTGAAGAGCAGCAGACACAGAGCATACATAGAACCAGTTCTATGTTTGCTGCTGTTTTGGCCTACCCACCCACCCAGGCTCTTACCTGACCTTTATTTCCTGCTTTTTCAACCGCAGCTGCTTTGTGCGACACAGCTGCAGTTGAAAAAGCAGGAAAAAAGAGCTTTTCCAACTGCTGCGCACTTGCACGCAGCGCTGCTCAGCTGTCCGAGCAGCTCAGCAGGTTGTAAATTGCGCATGCGCGCAACACACAGCAACATAACTGGTAGTTATGCCAGTCGGATCCCATCCCAGTGAGTAACTGTAAGTTATTCTTTCTTAATGCCACATATAGGCGTGCCAGTTTTGATATATGCTTTGCATGACAAGTTTTCTATCAGAACAAAGCAAGGTGGCCAAAAGGTGCAAAGATAAGAGAAGACAAAGGGACTTAGGATGAACTGATACCCATAATCAAGCAGTCCAAACCAACAATAGCAATGCACATAAACAAGCAAGTAAAAGCTACCATATGTTGTTACATTCAGTATTCAAGACGATGATTGGATAGAAGAT